GTTGGTCTTCACAGCTCATCTTTTCCCAGCAGCAGATCCTTTTCTTCGGCAAAGCATCTTTGGTGAGTTGGAGCTCTCACTCGTGATTTTAGATACAGTGTAGTTCAGACCATCCAAGAAGTTTGTGCTCTTGGATGGTAATGCATTTGTACAGTCTATGGACACAGCTTGCTAACCTTGGCTCATAACTCAGCACTCCATTCTCTGGCCAACATGTTCACTTCTGACTCCAGAAAATTAAGATGGCAACAGGCAGAAGGCTGAAGTGGACCATTCGATATATCGCTCTTTGGTTTCTAGGCATAACAGTGGATATGCCCGTCTTTTTGTATAAAGTCTCCCATAATATAATGTCAGTCGAAATGAATCTCAGTTTGAAGCTCCTACGTCACCTCGGTCTCGAGTTATTGCATTCACAAATTTAGGTGTCACACCGCCCACCCATCTGTCCGGTGGGTTGATATAACACATGGATGACAAAACTGGAAACAGAAACTCAAAGCCACTCAAAACTGCCACTTTCAGCCAACAGTCCCTGTCAGCTGAAAGCGACTGTATCTACCTGGTGAACACCGCAGAGATCGATCAATACACACAATCCAAGAGCTCAAACAGTGACTTTTCTTTCTTGACTTTTGCCAACAGACTCTACATACTCATGAACAGAATGTGTTTATAGAGATTAATATAAAAAAGTTATTGGAAAACCCATAAAGTAAAGCTGCACTATATTGTTTATGAACTTATTAGGAAAAATGCATCATTATGAGTTTGCAATAGGACCCATTTTAATACACAGAAAAACCGAACACTACAAATTGATGATGATTGTATCGTTTCATGCATCTTTTATAGCAGTACAAATGAAATTAAAATATATTGATGTCATTATCGGGTGAATCTGCATTTTGCAATTTTTTTTTCCATGTTCAAATAAAGACTGAGTGAATGAATAACTTTAAATTTTCTCTTTCTGATGTTCATGTAAGATTTATGAGCTTATCAAATTCCACTGAGCTAAGTAAGGAAATTTCATATATAGCACATACATAATACATGACCAAATTTCCCCTGGTTCATTACCAACCAACAAGTTAGATTCATTAATACAAGCCAGTGAAGGTTGACCTGAGTCTTTAACAGAAAAGATCAGTCCCAACTTTCCCCTGCAGGCCACAGCATCCATTTTTGAAGGCAGAGGGCATTAAAGAACATCTCTGTCAATATTATCCAGCAGCCTTTCAGCAACTTGTTCTCCAAAAGGAGACGTTGGTAAGGGATATCAATATTAATGGCATAATACTGAGACCTCATTATGCTGAAGGTCACGGCTAGATGTGGATTTAGAGAAAGATGAACGAAACTCTTCAACATTTATGGCAGAGAAGAAACATTTATCTAGCTGTAGGACACCTCCTGCAGGCAGCCTGCCATTCTCACTTATACACTTAAAAAAAAAAGTTTCACATTCCCAGTTGAAAATTTGTTAAATCATCCCTGTGACTTCTAGTGTGTGCAAAGTAGATTCAGCAATTAAAATGCAAGAAATGGTGCAAGTAAGAACTGATTTATGGCACCAAAGGGAGCAGGAACACTGCAGATAGAGACTGTATCTGGGCTGGTAATGCATCAAAGATGAGGCGCTCACCTGAATTTTTCAGGTATCATGTAACAAGAAAACTCCTTTTTGCTTTTACTTTCTCAATCACCATCTCCACACCACGAACAATTTAACCATGAATCACCGTAACAAAGCACATTTTCGGGAGCCGAGATATGGACATTTATTTTTCTTGTGCAAAAATAGAAAAGAGAACAATGGTAAAGTGCAACTGCATTATACTGCTAACACAACATTAAGTGTTATGACCCCATAAATTTGAGTCTATGCCAAACTTCAACTAGTGACAAAGGCAGTGATGAGCAGCCTTTTAGCCTCCATTTCTAACTGTGGTGTGTGGGACTGTATCTAAGGTTTACACTATTAACTTAGTAATTATGTGGCAGCGCATTTCAGGTCAGTTTATAAAGTAGGTGACATAGTGCATTACTTTTAAGAAAGGTATCAAGTAATGATTCTGCAAAAAGTACTCCACCCTCTTGTGCACTTCAGTCTTTGAAACCTGAAAGGTTGCACACAAAAGGCAAGATCAAAAGGTGGAATGCAAGACCAACGCATCCATGCTTTTGATTTACACTCATTTTGGTTAAATTTGGGTACAAAAATGACTTTACTCATAATTTAGTAGAGTTACCAACGGTGTCCGATTTTCCTTATTTAAATGGTCCGATATGAGGGATTAAAACCTGGTTACTGAGCCACTGACACATTTGTACATATGGGGAAGTGTGACACCCAGACCCGTCACCTGCAGAGCCTCATTTACCAGTCAGAAATGACAGCTCCCTCAGAGATAATGTGGACTTACTGGGTATAAATGCATATCCACAGTAAGTGTGTGTCCTGACAGGATATCAGAGCTGATGCAATCACCCCTGCCTCTTTGTGCAAGCCCCCCCACACCACACTGCCCGACACACCAGTGACGGACTGATGTAACCTACATGCCCCCACGGTTCAGCTTGAAGCTCCATCAGTACAGTCCTCTGAATGATGCATCATAGTGCATTTACATCAGGCCACTGTATAAGCCAAGTTTCCCAAATGAACTCATTCGCCTGAATATTTTTCACCTCTTTTACTGAAGAGTTCTCTGCAGGGATCATCATTTCTGCATCACTGTGGATGATGCCGATCTACATTTTTCATCACAGCTGAATTTTTCTCATCATGGCTGAATACTGAGCAGAAGCTCAGAGGAATGTTTGCTCTCTGCACAGGACAACTTCATATCCTCAGAGTGTGCAAGCTGTGACTTGCTAACAAGCATCTGAAATAATTGAAAGACTGACGCACAATTTCCTGCATGTTTAAAAATATATCCATAAACATGGATTAGCCCCTCATGTGCTGTGGGATTTTCAGGCAACCAAATTATTACTCTTGCTAAGTACAAAAACACTAAAGGCTTTAAATTAATTGTTAATTTTCTCTGTCAGTTGTTTGTATGTGCCCAATTCCCCTCAAAAACATTAGTTTCTTTCTGCATTTGCACAAAAGAAGGAATTTGATGTCAACAGGCCTTCCCTGCAGTGCATCATCTGTCAGAAGAGGTTGACTAATTGACTTACATGATGCCAAACAAGTTAAAGAGGCGCTTGGAAACCAAACATCCATTCTGAGGGAAATTTGGCTTATAGCCCTGGATCACAACCACAGGCAATCAGACCATTTGTTGGATTGTGATAAAGTGTCTAATAAGGCGATTGAGGTGCTTCTATATATGCAGCAGATATCATGCCAGGTCCAAATGCTGCAAAAAGGGGCTGTCAATAGTGCTTTTTCTGATGATGTAATGAAAAGAAGAACTCAAGATATCAGACACGTCAGATCACACAGAAGCCGTTTAATGTAGACATGAATGAAAATATGCCCTAAAAATGTTGCTTGACCTTTGGTGTCCTTGGACACAAAAAGTTTGAAAACCACCACACACAAAAAGATGCAGGGAGACTGGACTGGTGAAGAGCATTTGTAACCGAAAAACATGCTCCATGATGAGCAGCTATTACCCTATTTTTCGGACCATAAGGCGCACCAGATTATAAGGCGCATTAAGTGAAACAAAAAAGTCAGATAAGTCCAATTTTACTCAGCTCATTCTTCTTGCTTCCTCCACGTCCGTACCATTGATTGATTAATGTTGAATTCTCTCACAGCTGCTCTATTCCATTGTTGTTGCAGTATATTAATGACTAACCTCGTATTGTGGATGGATTATCTCAGTTGTTCTCCTGACTGACGTTTGGTCCCTTTTCAGCATCCTGCCATGCGATTGCATTTGTCCCTAACCATCGGGAACCCTCACGTTAACTTTTATCGAGTGGAAAAAAGTTAGCGTTCATCCTGCAGCTTCACCGTTTGTTATGCTAACATAGCTGTGTCGCTAGCGAACACATAGCACATCATTATATACCAGCTAGCCCAACTTCAGTAACCCTACAAACGTAACTGCTGTTTAGTTTTCTGTCTTCATTTATGTTGGAAGTGATAGCAGAGCTGTACTTTTTAATTTTTTCAGAAATCTCTCAGTCAAAACATGCTATATGATGTTCAGGTGGAAACTAGCGAGCTAACTTCCTGCTAACTTCTAACTCCATTAAATTTCACAAATTCTGTTTTCATGGATGCCTGGATGTTAAACTTAATTGTTACAACTGGTAAAGCAGCAATGCTGATCGTTTTATTACAGATGAAAGAATTTAGATGGTTTTTAACTCTCAGTGATGCCGCAGTGTTCGTTTGACTTTGGGACCTGAAGCAGACGGAGTTTTGGACCCAGATTCCTCCGTGAGGCTCCTGACTACGGCAGCTGTAATGTTGCGGCTTCCTAGCTTACCAAAGTCATTCTAAGACATTTTTTGACAGATTTTTGAGTGCCATGTACCACATAAAATCGGTTCGAGGTCAGTAAGCACAACCAGCATTCATACATCAGGCGCACCGGATTATAATGCGGACTCTCGATTTTTGAGAAAATTAATAGATTTTAAGTGTGCCTTAAAGTGTGGAAAATACGGTAAGTAGCAACAGAAGTTGAGTTGTTTAGGACTCCATGTTACAAACGTATCAATATTTAAAGCTGGTACGTCTGTATTCTGCACCGCAGCAATTTCCTAATGTTGTAAACCTGCTCAACATTTGGCAATAAAACCCTTTCTGATTCTGAAGCAATGTGTAATACCACGAAAATGATATTTTATTCTACACCTTTAACATGCGAGCTGACCAAAGAAAACCCATCCAATCTACCTCACTACTTCAGAACATATTCCAGATGTACCGTCTCCTCTTTATCGATGCCTCTATGTTTCAGACTTGTAATGGGGGGGGAGGAAGAAGCAGAGATAAAAAGGATTGAAAATGAGAGAGACATTACCAACGTAGGGCGATCTTGATGGGCGTAGTGAGACAGGATGTAAAGAGGTCAGCGGGGAGGTCAGGGTTCATGGGCAGCAGCTCACTGGCCTCACAGGCGGCAAGCTGGATGCAGTTCTTCATGGAGGGCGGCAGGGGCATTTGGGCAAGCGGGTGGCTGGGGTTGATGGCTGCCACCTGATTGGACACAAAAATGTGATTTATTTCTAACATTTATCTGACAACCACAGTCAAACGTTCAAACATTTATCTAGGAGACTTTTCATAGCTGCAACAACCACAGAGAGTAATCTCAGAAGTCCAAGTTTCAGTCCTAAAACAATGATTTATTTAATTCTCCACAGCTTGACCAGTTTTCTGGGGAGATGAATAACAAAGCTTTATAGAGAAAGGGAGCTGGATGACTATCTCACATCTGTCAGACTACAAAGCACACAGACACATAGTGAGCATCAAATGAAATGTGGAATTGAGTTCAGACCAAATGCCAAAGACACTTTTTGCATGGTGCAATTACATACAAACATGCAAACTGATTCAAATTCACACTGGGTGACTACAGGGAAACCCACGCAGTCAAAATATTAAACTTTGGTGAAAACATCTGTTAGATGCTGCTTTGTGAAATCCTGTGAGCTGTAGCTCTCTCAGACTGATGGGTCTCCTGATGCCACCGACAATCAGAAATGGAGCCTGCAGGGAGACCGTGTGGTTAACTTCACTTTTATAGAGACAGAACAGGACAATTAAACCAAACAGATTTCCTGAAATATAAAACTGTCACTCAGTAATTGGTATGACTTTGAGAAGGTAGTACTACACCTATTGGCCGTTACAGGAGAAATATTTGTGGGTTGGGGAAAGTGCAAAAACACTCCGGTGTAAGAGAACGCTTTGTGTTGGCCCTGAACACCCCATAATAATTTCACTTTGATGAATATTATCTGATCTCTATCATTTCTGCACGCTTCTTTATGATACAGATTTAATTTGAAATTGTTAAAAAGTATCCATCTACACTCAGTGTAGTTTAAAAAACAACAACTTTTTCAACCTTTACGAGTCATTTGTCTGTGGCCTGAATTGTTCTCATGTGCATTCATTTTTATTTAATTATCACTTAAATGTGACTACAGCTTGACTCAAGTCCATCTTCAGTTTAATGTACATAACCACACATGTGTGTAATGTAAAAAAATCCCACCAATACGATGCATATAATGATCAAAACTAAAGTAAAAAGTCTGCTACTTTAATAATGTCATCAGTAAAGTAAAGCATGCCGGTGCTAAAGATTTGGTCCTTATTGACAAAGGCAGTGGATCAAAATTCAAGAGGGCCTTGAGAAAAACCTGCCCCAGAATGCAACAGCTCTGAGTGAGTTTACATTTCAGCATGACAATGATCCAAAGCGTGCACACTTAAACTCCACAGAACATCTGTGGTAAGACATCACGATGGTAGCAGAGGCTTCTTTAGTAGAAGGTGATAAACAGCAAAACTTCAGGTGTACAAAACAAGCAGAGACTTATCCAGGCACACTGGATAAGTTATATACCTATGTGGTATGTGATTTTTGTTGCCATGATGCCAGGTCTCTCTTGGAAATGAGATTTTTAATCTCAATGAGATTTTTTACCTGGATAAATAAAGGATTAATAATAATAAACTGAACGCTGGAAACACATTCAAAAAGTGTTCTTAGCACCTGAAGCACTGTAACAAAAGGCAGAATGCTGGTATTTTAGTGGCAGAGTCAGGGTTTGGATACAGAAGCAGGTTGAGATCACAGCAGACGCAGACGCCAAGCTGAAGAGCAGATAAGGCATGAAATTAAAGGTTAGGTGTAAATTAGAGAGCAGCAGTTTGAGTTGAAGAAAGAAAATAACTACAGTAAGAAAAGTAAGATGAAAACATTTGAAGTCTTTGTCATCTTGATGTAAAATGGTAAATGGCCTGCATTTACTAGTCCCTAAGGACCCCAAAGCACTTTACACATTCAGTCATCCACACATCAACACACTGGTGATGGCAGCTACATTGTAGCCACAGCCAACCTTGGGCGCACTGACAGAGGCGAGGCTGCCGGACACTGGCACCACCGGGCCCTCTGACCACCACCACCAGTAGGCAACGGGTGAAGTGTCTTGCCAAGGACACAACGACCGAGACTGTCGGAGCCAGGGCTTGAACCGGCAACCTTCCGATTACAAGACGAACTCAACTGCCAACTCTTGAGCCACGATCGCCAACCAACAATGAAAACTACCAAAGTCCAAGTGTGATTTTATGCAAATGTCCAGCGACATCAAATCGAGGCTTGAGCACCCTGCACCACCTACACCAGCCTGACTCGTGTCACTGTTGCAAGCTGCTGGTTGGTGTTCATCAGACCTGCTATCATCTCACCACTGATGGGCAAACAAATGATCACTTCTTTCATCTTTGAGGCCAAAAAAATGTTCATTGTTTGGCACCGAAAAGTGTCGTATTTATTACAGGTTGCACCTTGAACATCACAGAGATGTATAGAAGCTGCTGTACAGTGCTTACTGCATTAAAAATGAAAACACATGGGAGGGAGAAGACAAAAAAACTCAGCAAAGCCCAAAAAAGTTCAACTTTTGGCTGCTTTTATGGACAGCGTTGGGTAAGGAAAGGAAAAAAAACCCTCACAAGTCTGACTACAAGCTTTTGGTTTTTTGTTTGTTTTTTAAAAGTTTGCCACCTTGATCTACAAGGCAAAAAATTAGAAATGACGCACCGGCTCAGACTTTTTCACATTGTAATGATACCGTGATAGGTTATTGATCCCAGTGGGAAGTTTTCCCCGTTCGCAGCCTCTCAGGAGGTGGTCTTTGATGGTAACAAAATAAATAAAAATCTCTCTCGTCTATTCTGAGAGCTGCATTAGTGTGATACTTTAACACTCTGGGGCGGCTCAGTCAATATTTGCAAATGTAAAAAATGAGAGAGGCCTGTGTATGATGTAAAACTTTAATTATATTTGGAGCTCTTGACTATCTATGTGCTCATTGTGCTGTTGATTTGTTTCCTGGGAGTTCAATACGTTTCCTGTCTTTTGCTTAGTAAACTTTAATGAGCTGTGGGTCTTAATGGAGGCAGCAATCCAAGACTTCCCTTTATCATCACTGACTGCTATTGCTTGTTTCTTTCATTCTGCAGCCCTGCCTAATTTTAGCAGGAAATTAGCCAGGGAGACTGTTATATTATTAGTATTATTATCGTTGCCTCTTTTCTCCAAAGCACAGGGAACTATTACTTTAAAAGACTGAAGACTGCTTCACACAGCTTGTAAATAGTTTTTTTTTATTATTATATGCCAAATAAGTTTGTATTTGTAACAGAGACCACAGCGCTGCTCCTAAAAGACATCCACGATCAGTGAACTCATTGCTGAAGTCACGAGCTGCGGAGATCGAATCTCGCCTCTTTTATTGTTCCATCAGAACTCCACCATAAACTGTCCGAGGACAAAGCACAATCAAATATTTTATCATCGCAGCATCTAATTTAGGAAAAAGTAAAGAAATATCTGACAGCTCTGAGAAATTACAGACAGATTCGGATAAATAAAGAACTCTGTTTACCAGACGGTGTTTCTGACTGCACAGACATATATTCTTTAGTAAAGAACCATCAGAATTATCAACTCTGTAGAACAAGTTAAGGATGTACTTAAAAATGTGCCACATACATAGTTACATAGTTAAACAGTTCTGTTCATACTGATCATGAGTGTGAAACAGCTTCGGTTTCTAATATGCAACAAAACAAAAACAACATGACAGCCAGAGGACGAACTGAGGGGCTGCACCAGGATCGATCAGGGTTGTTCTGATAGTGAAATATGCAAAGGAGACCAGAATAAAATAATATGCAGCTGTAAAGAGGCATCAACAGCTTCCTTTTTAACCTGCCGAGTTTGCATTGAGCTTTGTTTCTTTCTTTGGCTGTTTATGTAGCAGTGATGTTTACACTGCTGTGTATGCTCTGCTAACAGCACACTGCCACGGCATTGATTTTTTAACCTGCTGGATTTCTTCATTTTTGTCCTTATAAGTCCAGTTTTAAAAGTCTAAATACATCATAAGCAGGCTTTTAGACTTTCACTGTACTTCATTTAACTACTTTGGCAGTGCTGTGAAATCAGATTTAAAATAAATGGAAAATCTCCTCGATTTAGTTGACTCCATAAAATAACGTGCAGAAAAAGCATGAAATTATCATATTGATGTCAGGTATTACAGATTTGTAACTTTGGTTGAGCCACCGTAAAAACTCTTGCATCAGCAAAGCATCTGGCACACGTTTGATAGATTTTGGACATAAAGTCGAAGACTAAAATGCGATTGCAGCAGATGGGGAAACCTAAAAAGATGCACAGTACAATCCAGTGTTTGGTCTGCAAATCCTAACTTTAGACTGAACAAAACGTAGACCTCTGAAATCATCTTTTCACAGGTGATGAGATACTATATATGTTTGTTTCGTCGATTCTTGAGTACACACTTGGAATTATAGATTTAACTGACTGAAAACACAATATATAATGAATAAGCTGTAATGAGATTCAAAACACCTAAAGTTATATATAGTTATATATAGCTAAAGGTGATAGAAGTAATTTTTTAAGTGAACTAATCTCCATGTTCTTTGTTCCAGTGCTGGATAAAAGTCAACATGTGTGTTTGATTTACAGGAAGCAGCGTGAGTGCAACCTTACTTTTAGGGTCTGCAGTGTTTGTGTGGGATGCATAAACACACTGTGATCATACACTGCACAGCTGGTCTAACTGTAGATATAAATTACAAATTGTTCCTCTAAGACCGCTTGAAGAGCCGTAGACACTCTGAACAGCTGTTTGCTGCAGCAGAAAATGTTGCTTTAAGTGCTAAAACTCTTTTAGTGTGTGCAAACACTTTTGGGATTACAGACATAAAGGTGGAGGGGGACGAGCAGTTGCGAGAATCTTCAGACTGCCTGTCACAGAGCGAGAGAATACACTACAAGCTTTGGCAATCAAGCTACACTATCAAAAGAACACATAATCACATAGCCGGCAAGCAACAAATCCCATGAGCACCAGCATACAAACAAAGGGTGCAGGAGTCTGGACATTTATGGATTTAAAAACATGCCATGTGATAGCATT